AGGGTGAAAGGGAGATCAATGAAAACCATATGGAGCAAGAGGAACTCACCCCGAAGAGATCCCGTGGTGAGAACGAACTAGAAGGTTGCATTTACGACTCCCACCATCTTCCCCTTCCCGAAAACAACTTTGAATACCAAGACATGAGTGTGGAGGAGCAAAAGAATCCCTTCTATGATCTTGCATGGCATCTTGTCCTCCATAGTGCTTGGGGACACGAATGGAAAGGAGAAGGAAGTGGTTGAAGAGGAGGAAGAAAGCGTTGAAGAGGGGGAAGTCAACATTGAAGAAGGAGAAGATCTTAATTGTTCCCAAGGGGAGGAACACATTGAATAAGAAGGAAGGGAGGTTGAAGAAGAAGGAGCAAGTGGGGTCCAAGATGAGGACGGGGTCGAGGTGGATGAAGCATCCACACGTTACAAGGGCTATGAAAGCTTTCCACCTGACCTCGACGCGCTTTTGGAGAAGGACCCCTTTGCGGCTCTTTTCCAAGCCAATGCCAAACCAACGGCGATCCCTCTTGGTGGATGCGATGGTGGTAAATCGATGTTGCACTACATGGTATGGGGCAAGGAGAAGAAGGAAGAAGGAAAGAAGGAGAGGTCTCGTAGGTGGAGCCTCAAAGCCACTCAAGTTCACAAGCCCTCAATCATGGACTTGTCCAATGCTCCTGACTTGAGATATACATCACCGACGAGAACCTCAACTTCAAGGAGGTTCTAGGGTGGACCGAAACTTGAGGAGCAACTATCCGGCTCACGACGTTAAAGAAGCGCTTGGTGGGAGGCAACCCATCTACCATCGGTTTGTTGCTTTCCGCTACAATAAGAAGACCATTGGAGAGATTTTGGTGGTGTTTTGTCATCACCTTGTTCTTCCGAATCTCGCCCGACCTCCGATCCATACCACCAACATTCACATCATATCTGGTAACATCGTTCTACCTCCTTACTTTATGCCATTGAGGGCAATGTCGAGCTTAAGTGTGAGGGGGGGGGGGGTAGTCCATTATGCATGTGTGTGTGAATGTTTGGTGTGATTTTGAATGCTTGGAGCCTAGTTGTACACCCCAAAATTTTAAAATTTGAAGGCTCCAAGCATAGAAACTTCTACATTTGCATGATCATAGTGGCACTTGTATTCTTTTGTTTTGAATCTCGTGGTTATTACCATTGTCTATGGATGATTTGCTTGTGATTATGTGCAACCTATGATGATGATTGAGACTTGAATTAGGTTTGTGCATAGGTTCATTTCTCATATGTTTGTGAACCGATAGATGCTTGAATCGATTACTTGCTTTTCACAGTTGCCTATGCATCGATTTTAGGGAGTGAGAATGAATGATTGAGAACCTAGGTAGCCATGTGAGACTTGTGTCGTTCGTTTCGTTCTTGTGTGATAGATCCCCCTTTACATGATGCACAACATTCACATTGTTGCTAGCGAGGAAGATGGAGGCATAGGATTAGCCCATGACCCAAAATTTGACTGACCCGATTATATTATCCCTTAGTCAACCCTTTTGAGTCGTGTGTCTAAGTGTCGTTCTCATGTTAGGTAGCTCACGCTACTTGAGCTTGATTGATTTAGATAGAACGACCCTACTTTCTTCGTGTCTACACCGTTATCGAGACACCCTTGTGTTTGGAAGCTCCATTCATACCGTTTGAGCTTAGATGAGGTTCCACATGAGTGATTTGTGTACGGTTTTGCTAAGAATGTGAAGTGAGTGCTGGAAGTAGTTTTTCAAAGGGACCATTGTTCCTTAAGTTAAAAAATGTGGCATGTGTATATAGCTCTCTATAGACCTCAAAGAAAAGGAAAAAAAATCAGTAAAAGGTCAGAGACGAAAAGAGAGTGGCCGCCAAAAATATAATAAATATTGAACATTTTCTTAGAAGTGTTTCTTGGCATGCAAGCTATAGAGACACTTACATGTTGTTGACCTCTAAACTCTTGCGCTTGAAATTGATTAGCAAATGTAGAAAGAAGGTATTTGTGACTTGGTTTGGTGATTGGTTGTGGTTTGGAATTGAGGGAAGCGTGGTTTTTGGCCGATGCTAGTGGCCATTGAGTATAGGAGAGGGTTATAATCGAAACCTTAGAACCTTTTGTGCTTTTAGGATGGAAATGAGGAACCTTATGCTATGTTTGCCACCACCCAAAAAGCTTTTTCCCCATGTCCTAGACCCTAGCCAGTCATTTGAACCTGTGTCTAAGACCTCCGGACAAGCTAGCAACGACACCCATCTTGTGAACTCTAACATTTAGAGGTTACTGTCATGGTAAAGGGACGTTAGAATTCAGCGTGAATATGCACATCCTTTGCATCAAATGGTCCTGGCCCCACTGGTCGAGAGTGAGTGATTCATTCATCATGTTTTGTTCATTTCTTATACCCCGGTGAGGACCTAGGTTGCTCGATCGTTCATTCCTATGATGTGATCTTCATGCATGAGTAACTGTGACTGGTGAGTCGTCGAGGCATATTGTGTGTTGGTTCGTGAATAATGCGAGAACTCTTCATTTGCACAATCTTAATAAAGTTGAATGTCGTTTGTGGTGGTTTCCAAGATTACATTTTTTATGTCCATAGGTCGGTGTCAAATAACCAGTGTGATTCATTCGTTTTGTGCCCTATGACATGCCCCAAAAATTTTGTTGAAAAAGAAATTGTAAGCTTACCTTGTTTTGTACTTGGTTTGCTTGGGGACAAGCAAACGTTCAAGTGTGGGGGGTGATTCGGGTCCAATTGTACACATTTTACCCCTCATATCTTGATAGTTTGGCTTTGCATTTCATCGTCCCTCAACATATTTCACGCTTCAGGTCCTAGCACGTGTGGGAAGGTCGAGGACGATTTTCGGGTCGATTGTAGATCGAAAAGTGCCTAGAAGAAGAAGAAGATCTATAGGTTTCTTTGTAATCTCTCCTCTCTCTTTCTAGAAACTCACCCTCTTCTCTTGGGTTTAAGAATTATAGAAACTTACCCTCTTCTCTTGGGTTTAAGAACCCTAGGTCTAGATTTGGATTTAATGTTGATGTATGTAACAAACTCCATGATTGATTGATGATTTTACTTAATTGATGGATGTTTTCATGAATGGCATGAGTTGGGTTTCCATTTTCATGTATTGAGTTTTTGACCTAGGAGGGAGATAATCCCATTAGAGCCCTCCTTTTGGCGTCTTCGGGTCACTCCTATCGTATATTGTCTGCGTAGTCTCCGAGGGAGTTGATTCGACCGGTCTCCTAGCATTATACGAAACCCTAGGTTGAATATAGCACTACCCATCCATCTATTCACCGTTCCGGGTCATTCCCGAGGGAGTCCATCTCCAAACGGTAGTGTATTTGAGTCGATCGAGCTAGGAGGATACCCAACACCGATCCAAAGAACGGACCTAGGATGATTCAACCCAAGAGAGTTCCCAACCTTGTAAATAGCTAGTTTAGTGGTTAGTCTAGGTTAGTTAGTTTAATTATATCAATCACTATCCTAGGTTGGCTAGATAACGAACCCTAAACCTGAAGTAGGATAAGCCTAGATCCCCGTGGTATGATAAATTCTTATTGCTTGCTTGCCCTATGCTACACCTAGTTGCCGGTTATACTTGTTCGTCGATCGGGATGTTGTAGTTAGAACGAGTCATGCTATAAGCGCAACAAGTATAATCGGCCATTTGTTATGATGGTTGGTGTAAATAACCACCACCGTAACATCATATATAGGTTTTGCCCAGCTGGATAACGAGACAATCCCCAACTACATTTTGTAGTTAAATACTTTTCTGGATTTTATGAACTCTAAGATTCTGACTTCGGTGATCAGAGATGGATGCAAGTCTATGAGTGTCGTCATTTCTACTATACTGGTTGGAGTGCCGCATCGACTGTGTATTTGGCATATTGAGACAAATGCGACAACAATTGTTCATAATAGAGAGTTTGTTAGCTCATTCACCCACTTGGCGAAATCACGTATAACAACTGAGGAGTTTGAGAGCCGCAGGTAACGTTTGATTACTGAGCATGGTTTGTTTGCAAATAAGTGGTTGCGGGATTTGTATGCTGACAAATTACATTGGGCAGAGGCATACTTGAAGGATATTTATTTCGGTGGACTCCAACTAACCTCACAATGTGAGTCATGTAACCATTGGATAAATAGGTATGTAGGAACTCAATACAGCTTGCAATGTTTTGTTCAAGGATCGATGGAGCACTAGAAGGGATGCGTTACACAGAGCTGCATGATTATTATTCTTCTAGGCACACGAGGTTGGTCTGCAACCATGCCCTTCGCACATGGGAACTGCAAGCTGAAAGTATCTACACACATCGTACATTTGCTATCTTCAAGTGTGAACTAGAGAATGAAGCTTCTTATGTGTTAGCGGAGACAAGAATTGAAACAAATGGGACATAGACATTCAATCTGAAGAACTGCATGAACCCGAGTCGGATAAGGAGGTTAACATTTACTACGACCACTCAACATCTAAAATGTGAGTGTGCATTATTTGAATCAAAGGGTTTCCATGCAGACATATGCTTACAGCCATAAAACATAAGGGATTTACAGCACTACCCTCCACGTGGTTCAAGCTTTGATGGACCCAAAATGCAAAGACACTATCTTGTAATCCTGGAGTTGGAGGTGGCGTGGCAGAGAAAGTCGGTCGACTGATAAGACAAAGGGGACTGTCACTAAAGTGTAAGCGTTTGTATGACATCGCGTGTGGTGATGAAGTTGCTTCTAATCATGTCTCCTTAGCATTGGATAACCTTACTCAATGGGCAATTGAGTTCATGAGGGAGGGAATGGATACCAGTGCACCCGCAAACCTCCAGCACCCCTTCCAAGTGTTAAAGACCCAAGAATTGGAAAGGCCAAGGGAACATTCAAGTCTGCACGAACTGCATCAGGCAAAAGTGTAAGAAAGTGTTCAAAATGTGGGAAATATAGACATTTTCGCCCTAAGTGCCCGAAGAAAAGTAAAAAAAAAAGTTTAAAATTTCTTCTAATTTTTTTAGGAGTTTAATTTTGGAAAAATACACTTGTGTAGCCAAAACTTTGAAGGTTTGGCTAAATATAGCCACTTTTGGCGAAATACCAAAAATAGTCATTTCCGTCCAATTCTTTGACGCTGTTAGTTAGCGTGCTGACTGGACTAACGGATCGTCCAATCTGGCGATTTTTGCCCCATATGTATTTCCCACGTGGATTTAATTAAAAATCATAATAATTAAAATTTAAAATTTTCAAATGGCTGCTTCTTTTGATTTATGAAAAATAAAACAAAAAAATAAATGAAACAAAAAACTTCTATGGTCGACAGCTACAACACCACCAAAGTCCAGAGTCATCGCCGCATCTTCGGATTCCACTCCTCCACTGCCTCCTCCTTCTCCTCCGGCTCATCTTTCGCCTTCAAATCCTTGCTCCGAGACCGCGTACGCAGCAGCCACCCGCTGGACAAACCAAGATTCGTAGGAATATCCCATCTCCTATCGCGGCGAAGTGGGGAAGAAGGAGACCGAGAATGGGCTGGCATTGCAAAACCCAGAACAACCCAGAATAACCGAAAATGGAAACCTCACAGAACCATTCGTCGTCGAGGAGAAGAGGACTATGTGATTCGATTCTGCGACAAGGGATTTGGCAAAGGGCTCGTCCGCTGATGTCAAACCCGCCGCTGCCTGGAAGACCTGATCCTCCGCCACCTACTCCGTCGGCGTTGGGTTGATTATGGTTCGCAGCAGGCGCATAAGCCATTGAAGCAAAGTGAGCAAGGGTTTCTCGGCAAGCGAGCAATGGGGAAGGCCTAGTGAATCTGGAATAGAGATTCAGATCTACAGTTGGGAAAGAGTGATCTGAGAGAGATACGAAGAAGGTCGTGAGGTTATTTGGGAGATTTGGGGAATTTCCGCGGATTGGAAAGGAGGAGAACGATTGATAAGCTTACTAAGTTCCGGCTCCCCAAATCCGAGTCCGACTCGTTTTCACATGGAAGCTGGGAGGAGTGAAAGAAGGAGACTAACCAGGCAAGAGGAAGGGGCTTCTCTGAAGAAACCTAGCAGAGAGAAAGGGGAACCACGAGCAGATGAGATTGGGAAGAGGAGATGAGTTTTTTTTTATTTTTAGTTTTTGTAAATGATGTGTCATCCACTTGTCACTGAATGCTGAGGTGGAAATGAAAGAGAGGCTGTGTTGGCAGCCAGGTAAGCTTCCCGTTAATTTGACTAACGGTGTTACTCACTCCGTTAAATTATGTAACGGAAATGGCTATATTTGTCATCCAATTTTTAAAATTCTGGCTATTATTGGTATTTCTCAAAAAGTGGCTATTATTGTCACAAACGTCAAAGTTTTGGCTACACAGATGAATTTTGCCTTTAATTTTTGTAACTATGATTGCAGTGTTTTATTTTTGCTTCTATGTATGTTAAAATTATCTTAATAATATAAGCGTTAGGTTATTGTTGATTTCAATTGACTGGAATAGAGAAAACGGTTGACCTGACAAAGGAAAAGGTCAACCGCTTCCTTGTTTCAGCTTAAATGCATCTCAAAATCCGCCCAAACCCTATCCTCCCATCCCCTTTACTCCCCTACATAAAACCCTCCTCCACTCATTTTCTACCACAACCCCAACCACAACCCCTTTCTTCTTTCTCTCCTTTCCCTTCTTCTTCTTCCACAAAAAAACCATAAGAAAGGCACCAAAACCTCCATTCTATTTCATCCTCATATGCTAATAAGAAGAGTAAGGTGTGTTTTTCATTCTTTCCTTTCATTTGATCGAGTTTTCTGTTCTTTATTGGTAGATTAGATTGATTTTACAAAACCCAAAAGCTTAAAAAATTGGATTCTGTTCGCTAGAATCGGTCGACCGCTTATAAATCCAAGTCGGTCGAAGAGGTCTGAGGTTGGGCGATGATATTTGAGGTCGACCTTTGATTATTTTTGTCTCGTATATTTAAGCGACTGGTTGTTTTTTTATATTCTGCTTCATGAAACTGAGGTCAACCGGTGATGATCATGAGGTCGACCTATGACGTTTTTGTGTCGTCTGTTTTATGCTAATATAGTTGTTTTTATTTTCTGATTCATGAAACTGAGGTCTACTAGTGATAATCTTGAGGTCGACCTATGACATTTTTTTCTCTACAATTTGTCACGTTTTACGGTTTAGGTTGTGCTTCAAATTTGAGGTCGACCTAGGTTGTTTAGTCTCATGTATTTATGCTATTATAATTGTGTTTATTTTCTGATTCATGAAACTGAAGTCGACCAGTGATGATATTGAGGTCGACCTATGACGTTTTTTCTCTACGATTTGTGCAAGTTTTACGGTTTAGGTTGTGCTTCATGTTTGAGGTCGACCTAGGACAGTTGAGGTCGACCTGGGTTGTTTTTGTCTAGTCTGTTTATGCTAATGTAGTTGTGTTTATTTTTTGATTCATGAAACTGAGGTCGACCAGTGATGATCATGAGGTTGACTTATGACGTTTTTTCTCTCTACAATTTGGGCAAGTTTTACGGTTTAGGTTGTGCTTCCTGTTTGAGGTCGACCGAGGATGGTTGAGGTCGACCTGGGTTGTTTTTGTCTCGTTTGTTTATGCTAAATATAGTTTTGTTTATTTTCTGATTCATGAAACTGAGGTCGACCAGTGATGATCTTGGGGTCGACCTATGAATTTTTTTTCTCTACGATTTGGGCAAGTTTTACGGTTTAGGTTGTGCTTCGTGTTTGAGGTCGACCTAAGACAGTTGAGGTAGACCTGGGTTGTTTTTGTGTCATCTTTTTATGCTAATATAGTTGTGTTTATTTTCTGATTCATGAAACTGAGGTCGACCAGTGATGACATTAAGGTCGACCTATGACGTTTTTGTTTCACTACGATTTGTGCAAGTTTTATGGTTTAGGTTGTGCTTCAAGTTTGAGGTCGACCGAGGAGGCATGAGGTCGACCTAGGTTGTTTTTGTGTCGTCTGTTTTATGCTAATATAGTTGTGTTTATTTTTTGATTCATGAAACTGAGGTCGACTTGTGATGATCTTGAGGTCGACCTATGACATTTTTTTTCTCTACAATTTGTCACGTTTTATGGTTTAGGTTGTGCTTCAAGTTTGAGGTTGACCTAGGTTGTTTTGTCTCATGTATTTATGCTATTATAATTGTGTTTATTTTCTGATTCATGAAACTGAAGTCGACCAGTGATGATATTGAGGTCGACCTATGACGTCTTTTCTCTACGATTTGTGCAAGTTTTACGGTTTAGGTTGTGCTTCATGTTTGAGGTCGACCTGGGTTGTTTTTGTCTCGTCTGTTTATGCTAATATAGTTGTGTTTATTTTCTGATTCATGAAACTGAGGTCGGCCAATGATGATCATGAGGTCGACCTATGACGTTTTTTTCTCTACGATTTGGCAAGTTTTACGGTTTAGGTTGTGCTTCATGTTTGAGGTCGACTGAGGATGGTTGAGGTCAACCTGGATTGTTTTTGTCTCGTCTGTTTATGCTAAATATAGTTGTGTTATTTTCTGATTCATGAAACTGAGGTCGACCTATCGTTGTTCTGTTTTGTCTATGCATGTAATGTATAGGTCGACTTGTTTAGGGACAAGTCGCCCGAGTCTTGTTGGTTTCGAAAATGTGCCTAACATAAATTTTTGCTTGTTTGATATCAGGATGTTTGGAAAAAAAAATAAAAGAAAGACAGAAAAATCGACTGCCCCAAGTTCTGAATGGGAAGGCTTCAACCCCACTTTGTTCCTGACCAACGAGCAAAGTGACACATTTGAAGAGAGGAGAATGCACAACCGCAAGGTGGCTCCTGGTAGGCCATTGACGAAGGATGTGTATTCTCATTTCAAAATTACGGGTTTCTAGCACCATTTGTGGAACAAGAGTGGCTGAAGGTGGTATCTCTCAAAGCACCATACTACCCAAACATGGTACAGTACTTCTACAACAACATCGTCTATCATCATAATGTAAATGGATTGATTCATGCATTTAAAAGCTATGTGAATGGGGTGGAGATGCGCATCAGCAAGAATGTGTTGGCAGAAGTACTGGAGACTCCAAACCAGGGAAAGAGAATCAATTCTTATAGCGCTTAGAATGAAACTCATTTCTCGAGAACCAAGAAAATTCATACTGTATATGGTCTTGCTGAAGAGGAAAATGTTCAGGATCGCAGTAGGCCAACGATTAACCAGCTGATAGTTCAAGCCAGAGTTCTTCACCAAATGCTTTCCTAGTTCCTACAACATTCTGCCAAAGGGTGGACATCGGGAGGCAGTCACCTACTTCGACATGGAGCTCCTCACCAACCTACTTTCAAATGAGAAGGTCAACTTGTCATACTTGATCTTTAACCACATGCTTATTGCTGCAGAGATTTCAAACAGGAATCTTCCCTATGGGATGATCTCGACTTTGCTATTTGAGCATTTTAATGTGGATTTAACTGGTGATGTTGGCTTAAGAATCTCAAGGCAGGAGTTATTACAGTTTCATCTATGAAAAAGATGGGATTTGAGTTGCGTAATGGTGAGTATGTCCAAATACACAATTCTCATGGTGTCCATGGTGGTGATGATTATGAGGATGATGCTGGTGATTCTGATGAATGAGCCGGAGACTAGCCAATGGCGCAGGCTTAGAGTCAACTCCACCAGTCACCTTAGAGCGTATGTGGGAGCGCATGGATGGCATGCACGGCTTTATGGGCCAGATTTCCACCCAGATGACTGGCATGTACGACTACATGGGGCAAATGACCACCCATATGACCACACTGCAGGTGACCGTGAATGAGATGCGAGATTAGTTTTGATCTTTCAGTGGAAAATACATGCATTCCACCACATCCGACTACAATAATGCTAGCAACACCAATGAAGAAAATGTGGAAGAGGAAGAGAGGGGACAAGAGTAGGAACTCGACGATTTTAGATTGTGTGTTTTTGTTTTTAAGTGTTAAAAACGATTGTGGATTGATATTATGTGGTTTTAGATTTTAGTTATGTGTGAACAATTATGATTTGTGTATTATTGTATTTCTTGTTAGTTTGTTTAGTTGTTATGTTATGGAGTTATGAGTCTAATCATTATTTATGACTGATTCTGTTGGTTTGAAACGTAATTTGTACAAGCAAAAGAACCACCCACATCGACATACATAAGCAAAAAAGACGCAGGGCATAGGTTGATTTTCCTTTATTCGATCGACCTCGTACCGAATTAGGTCGACCGCGAAACCAACACTTGATCTTCATTTAACGTCAAATGATGATAGATAAATGGATACAACACTTCTCTTCTATCTGGTCGACCTTTTATGTAAATGGTCGACCATTTTGTTAATAAACGCCATCAAGTGGTAGACCTATATACCTTTACGGTCGACCATTTTGCTTCTGAAGCCAATGCAAAACGGCGACTGATGTTTTGTTGTGGTTGACCAACAATGACAATTTAAACTAGAAACGGTCGACCGTCATAAGTCATCAAGGTGTCCACATTAGTGTATTCGGTCGACCTCTGTTAGGATTAGGTCGATCGAAAAGTACAAGTTACGGTGATGAGCATGCCACCATAGGCGCACCCTAATTATAAGTTTTTCATTCTAACCTAGGTGAAATCTTTTTTTTTTCATTTCGTATAGAGAATTTACACAATATGAAACTCACTTGAAATTATGTATTTTAATAAAATTATAAAAATTAAAACATGAAGGTTAATTGAATACTAAGTTCTTTAATAAAATTAAAAAGTAAACATAAAATATAAAATCATATCAATATAAATAACAAATAATTAATAATTGACACAATGGACAATATTAATATAACATATAAAAACTAAAATTTTGATAAATTTAACTATTCAACAAAATTAAAATTAAATTTAAATATAGTAAAGTAATGAATTTGATGATTTTAAAAGATAAGAACAAATTAAGTGTTTTCAAGAAGAGAAAAAAGAATGAAATTTAGTGATTTTAATTTTTTAGAAAAGAAATAACGAAGAATTTTGGTGTTTTTTATTTATGGGAAGAGAAAGAAGTGAGAAAGTTTGGTTTTTTATTTATGGAAAGAGAAATGATAAAGGAAATTTTGTATTTTCAAATTTTTGAGAAAGGAAAGAAGAGATAATTTTTGTTCTTTCAATTTTATGGAAGAGAGAAAAAAATTTAGTGTTTACAATTTATGGAAAGAGAAAAAATGAGAGAAATTATAGTTTTTTTTTAAATAAAGAAGAAATTAAATTTGGTGTTTCAAAATTTTATCCTTTCAAATGAATATTTAATTTTATATGAACAGCATGATTAATTAATTATATTATAGTCTTATATGAAATTACTATTTGACTATATTATATTTGAGAATGTATCATGAGTTATCTCATCTTGAATATAATATCACTCGAATTATCTCAAATGCATATTATTTTACATTTTATATCATATACTTACTTACCAATTTAATTATGACAATATTTACGTATGAATTATGATGATTTAGTAGTTTAACATTTAGTGACTAGGACAATCTCTATAGTAAATCTTATTATAGTCTTATAAAGGCATATGACTAAATGAATATAATAGATTTGGGAACATATAATGAGTTAAGAATTTAACATTTAGTAGCTAAGACATTGTCTGTAGGAGAACCTATCATGATTTATGGATAAACTAATCGCTTATATTATGGTACACATTACCTAACACCCATTATATGAAGTAATTTAGGAACTTATCATAAACAATGTACTTATCCAACTATAAGAACTAATTAGTTTGACTATTTTTAGGGTATGGAGTTATATAATTTGAAGGTTAGTGTATATATGTGTGTGTGTAATTTTTTATGGTTTAATAACTAAATTAACCATTAGTTACAACAATCGTTTGTTTTAGAAAAATTCACTTAATTTTTCTACTTGTTTTTTATTCTTCTACATTTATTGCAAATTAAGCACTACGTGATCATTATTTTACAACACTTACTCGCACGAAACTACACCACAATAAAATCCCGACTAGAGTCCAAATTTTTATACTCTAGCTGGGTGTAGTATAGAGCAAGTATTTAGATATCAACACGGGCCGGTCCGTCTACCCCAACTTCAATTGTTGAAATCATTATCTAGAAACAAAGTTTTGGTTTAAAAATTTGCTAATTGAAATAAAATAGAGCAAAGGTAAATGGGTTTGAAAACTCTTTTGTGGAAGGATCACTTGGGTGTCGCTTTCCCCTACCTACTACCATGATATGTGATTTGGAACGACTGTTTTGGACAAGGTAATCGCGAATCGCAGAGGGATGCATATAAGGTCGGAGACCACAATCTCAATTGCTAAACCATGGTAAACATAAAGGCCGTGTCACTTGACCCTCTCGGTTTAGGGAATCGGTAGTTGACTTACTCCCTCACTCAACTCAAAGGTCGGACGGCTTAATCGCGATTAACCAATTTGATTAATTCAACACTGAGGGTTGCCCTAAATTAATCTAGTTAGGTGGCTTAAAAGCGGAAGGAAAACCAACTCGATTGAGTCTCCCTTGGAATGGGGGTTTTCCTCTCTAAGCTAGGTTATTGTGGCTAATTAGATTGTTAGCACCAACATGCACAAACCTAAGGGTGCTAAGCACAATTATGCACAATCCTTAGGTTGCTAAGCACCAAAATGCACAAACCTAAGAATGCTAAGCACAAAACATGCACAACCCTTAGATTGGTAAGCAGAAGCATGCACAATCAACATGATTAATACCTCAATCATTGTATTAAACAATACCCAATGACAATCATCTAATTCATATAAAAGAAACTACATGGTAGAATTAGGGTTTCACAACACCCAAGTGAAAGGAGATCTACTCCATGCTAGAAACGGGAAAAACACAAAGAGAAGAAGAGGAAACCATCATGGAGGATACTCCTAATCTCCTTGGCCCTTATGTTGAGCTTTACTTGAAGGAAATCTTCCCAAAATTCACCTTGAAGCAAAATGCTAGCCTTCTTCTCCCTTGGTTCGTATTTCTCTCTCTAGAAATCTAAAGATGGTTTTTCACACAAAGTGGGATCCCCCCTCTCTCCTCCTTTCAGCTCATCTTTTAAACCAGAGACGAGCTCAGTTCACCGCCTGAGTTCACGGCCGTGAACCACGAAACGCGTCCGTGAACTGCATGCATGCACCAAAATGCGCCGCTTCGATCACTACTATTCACGGTCAACAGCCTTCGTCCACGGTCTTAGTGACCGTGAACTCACGTTGCGTCAGTAACCTCTGTTTTGGCTCTGGACGCCTTGCGATTCACAGTCAAGGGCTCTTATTCACGGTCGTGCAAGACCGTGAACTTCCTAGGATAGTCGTGAACTTGCCCTTTTTCACCTCTTCTCCCGGTTTTCGATCCTTTTCGTCCAACTTTCGACTACGAGGCTGGTTCCACCTGTTAAACCTTGAAACACACTAAAACATGAGGAACCTAGCATAAAACCAACCTTTTAGGAGTGAATTTGCCACAAACACCTAAGTAAAACAGGGGCAAAACATGTACAATTAAGCCTGAATCAAACATCGAGTAAAAATTTGGCACATTGGAGTTGTGTTCGAATTGAATTTTGATTTCAAAATGATGGTTAAACTTGGTATGTTAAGTTATATGTTTGCAATAACTCAATCATTTAAAAGAATAGAAAATTAATGTTGCACTTTGACAAGTTTTTTAAACCTGTATAAGTAATTTTACCAAAAAAAACCCTTTTTAAGTACATATATGAATATAAGGTAGAAATAAATTGTCTAAAAATTACAAAAAAATGTTTGAAATTAGTATAATAAATAAAGTGTGCGTTGTAGCAAGTAAAGAGTAAGCAACACAATGTGATGACTCGAACTGCCCGCAACCCGATCCGTTCGCAACCATCCCCGACCCGTAACCCAAACAACTCGTAACCTGGTGGACCTGCAATCTAATGAACCCGCAACCTGACTGACCCGTAACCCGAAGAACCCACACCCCGACTAACCCCACAACTCGATTGAACCCAAACTCGGACCCAACTAACCCGTAACCTAATGAACCCAAAATTCGACTAACTCGTAACTCGATTGAACCCAACTCGAAGTTGTCCTAACTCCTAACCCATCCGATTGACATCTCTATGTAAAACCATAGGTAAATTGCAACTTTGATCACTGAATTTACTAAAAAAGTTCACCTTTGGCCACTGAAAATATTTAATTCCATTTGTGGTCACTGAAATTAGTTCAACCGTTCGAGTTTGGTCACTCTCCGTCCAACTCCGTTAACTTTTTCTGATGTGGCAGTCAACTTCCATAGTTGACCATTAAATCAGTGATGTGGCAATAAAAATTAATAAATAAATAAATTTAATCATTTACATTTTCCACATCATTTTCATCACTATTAAAACTAAGGCTAAATTACACGTTTGGTCACTCAAATTATACAAATCTTTCACATTTCCCACCCGAACCACTTTTCTTTCTTATTCACCACTAACTTTACAAATTGTTTCACCGTTAGTCACCCGCCGTCCAATTCCGTTAAAAACATCCTACGTGGCAGTCAACTAACCTCTTTGACCGTTAGTTTGATGATGTGGCAATTAAAAATTTTAAAATATAATTTTTAAATTAAAAAATATCCATCTTCCTTAAACTTCTTCCTTCCACTTCTTCCCCCTCCTTGAATCCAATCGAACTCCTGATGATCATCAATTCGTGTATAGATCTGAGGCAGGAATAGCTGTGGAGTGGCAGCGGCTGCGGCCGTCACTTGTAGATATCTTCAGTGTGTAACTCTCTCTCCTCGCGTCCATCACTACTTCGCGATTGACCGACGGATCTATACATCCTCCTTTACTTTCCTCATTGCTACTTTCGCAGGCAATGGCAACGTCGAAGATGAGTGGGCACATGCGAAGATGACAGATCTACCGAAAGCATAGGAGGAGGTGGATCTGACGGATCCACTACCGCCATCACTTCCTCCTCCTTCGTTACCGAAACCGTACCCTCGACAATCTCCTTCTCTTTCTCATTCTCCTTTACATCGGCCACTGATTTTTCTTCTTCCTTAGCAACCTCGTGGTGGAGGGTAAGTACAGCCGCCTTCTCCTTGCTCCAGGACTCAGAGATCTTGCCAAACTTCTCCCTGGAGCTCAAATCAAACCTGGTGGTTCCAAGCTCGTCAGTTGATGGGTTTACGGTGGAAGTCGGTCCCTGGAAATTCTCTGTGCGCTGTGGCTCTATCTGTGTACCCTTCGGCTTAGCCAGAGATGGCGGTGGTGTATTTGGCCGATTCTGAATTATTTCGGATTTCCACTCCAATTAGAAGGGGGAATTCTAGAAAAGGCAGGTCAGAGAATCAAACTCTGATTGAAGCCATGGACATCTTTGTCCTCATTCCCCACAACCTTATTGCTGGAGTCCCCTCTCGACGGAAACAAAGCACTAGCTATCTGCATTTTATTCCGTCACTGGAGCATGAATGGTTGATTCACATTTACTTTCCTTGCTTCTCGAGTGGGATTCAATATTTAGTATCAAGTATTTAAAGCCTCTAAATTGAATTAGAATGGCTTCTCTATGGATTCGAGGAGAAATGTTGCTCGGAGAAGAAGTGGAAGAAAGAGAAATATTTTTAATTTTAAAATTAATTTATTTAATTTTATCTTTTTAAAATGCCACATCATCTAATTAACAGTCAAAGGGATTTGTTGACTGTCATGTAGGATGAATTAACGAAATTGGACGGTCGATGACTAATGGTGAAACGATTCGTAAAGTTTGTGGCGAATAAAAAAGAAAAGTGATTCGAGTGACAAACGTGAAAGATTAGTATAATTTGAGTGATCAAACGTGTAATTTAGCCTTAAAACTAAAAATAAAACTTAAATGTGTGGCGCGTCTCTGCACAAACTCCGCCACCTCCTCCGCCTCTCCATCGCGGTCGTTGGCGGTGGTGGGATTTTCTCTTGAGTAGCTTCCTGGCCCTCCTCTGCTTCGTGGAGTTGCGATTGGGATCCATGCTCGCGGGGTCGTTTATCAATTGCTCGTTTAGGCTGGAAATTTTGACCTTAACACTTTCGAGCTCCTGATAAAGGACTCGTTTCTCATCTTCCAGGCTGTTACTTCCTTCCCAAAAGCGCCTCTTTCTCCACAAACAATCCATCTTTCTCAATGATTATGCCCTTAATCTCCGGTTTAGCTCTGCTCGAGAAACAACGCATCTTTTTCTTCGGTTGCAGCAGCGAACTTATCCTTAAGTTGGGCAACTTCAAGATTGGCGGTTTCAAGCTCTTTTTATGTTGTTTATTATTAATTTGAAGCCTTTAAATCATCCATTTTTGCTGGTTTTGTCTATGGAACCATCATCAGAAAACCGAGTCTGAGCTAGATGAAGAAGAGGAATCCGAGTGGGATTCAATATTTAGTATCAAGTATTTAAAGCCTCTAAATTGAATTAGAATGGCTTCTCTATGGATTCGAGGAGAAGTGTTGCTCGGAGAAGAAGTGGAAGAAAGAGAAATATTTTTAATTTTAAAATTAATATATATAATTTTATCTTTTTAAAATGCCACATCATTAAATTAACAGTCAAAGGGATTAGTTGACTGTCATGTAGGATGAATTTAACGGAATTGGACGGTCGGTGACTAATGGTGAAACGATTCGTAAAGTTTGTGGCGAATAAAAAAGAAAAGTGATTCGAGTGACAAACGTGAAAGATTAGTATAATTTGAGTGATCAAACGTGTAATTTAGCCTTAAAACTAAAAATAAAACTTAAATGTGTGGCGCGTCTCTGCACAGACTCCGCCACCTCCTCCGCCTCTCCGTCGCGGTCGTTGGCGGTGGTGGGATTTTCTCTTGAGTAGCTTCCTGGCCCTCCTCTGCTTCGTGGAGTTGCGATTGAGATCCATGTTCGCGGGGTCGTTTATCAATTGCTCGTTTAGGCTGGAAATTTCGACCTTAACACTTTCGAGCTCCTGAGAAAGGACTCGTTTCTCATCTTCCAGGCTGTTACTTGCCATTTTCAATTCTTCTTTGATCTTCTCTTCTTCTTGACTCCTTCCCAAAAGCGCCTCTTTCTCCACAAGCAATCCATCTTTCTCAATGATTATGCCCTTAATCTCCGGTTTAGCTCTGCTCGAGAAACAACGCATCTTTTTCTTCGGTTGCAGTAGCGAACTTATCCTTAAGTTGGGCTACTTCAAGATTGGCGGTTTCAAGCTCTTTTTATGTGGTTTATTATTAATTTGAAGCCTTTAAATTGTCAATTTTTGCTGGTTTTGTCTATGGAACCATCATCAGAAAACCGAGTCTGAGCTAGATGAAGAAGAGGAATCTGATCCCCGCTTTCCGTAGAAGTCGCCTTCAAGATTTGGCTTGTTGGCTATTCGTCTTCCTTGGCGCCTTCCTCTGCCAGGCAGTTCGTGGCGCTTGCGGTGGGGCGGTGAGATTGATCTGTAATTTGGCTATGAATTATAAGTCGCACCTCCCAAATTTCTAGATTGAGAACCCTATTCGCCGTCGTACCTCCCTCGTCGAATTCCTTCCTCTCTCAAACTCGAGATCTGGAGACGAAGACCCTGCTCTTGGTAACTTTAGCTGCGAGGAATCTTATCGTCTCCGTGAATCCTGAAACAGTAGCGGCGAGAAAGTCCACCAAAGGCGAATTAGAGGAGGTTGGGTTTGGTAGGAAATTATAGAAATTAAGTTTTATTTTTAGTTTTTAATATTGATGAAAATGAGGTGGAAATTTTAAATAATTAAATTTTATTTTTTATTAATTTTTAATTGCCGCGTCACACATTTAACGGTCAACTATGAAAATTTACTGTCACATTAGAAAAATTTAAGGGAATTGGACGAAGAGTGACCAAATTTTAACTGTTGAACTAATTTCAATAACTACAAATGAAATTAAATATTTGCGGTGACCATGAACTTTTTAATAAACACAAAACTTGTCATTTATCCGTTAAAACCATAAAGGATTCCTTTTAGGATACTCCCACCATACTTCATAATCTAGCTTAAGTTCGGCCCATTTAGAGTAGGCTTATGTGATCGTTCTGATAATGGGCCATTCTGTTAGCCATAATGCCAAAAATTGAAATCCCGATCTGCTAGAAATTCAGGCGGCTCTTTCTACAAGCCTAACTTTTCTATCGGCCCCCAAAACTCTTGCTCGAAAACCTGCTTCGCCCTCTTTCTCCTAAAACCCTCGTTCCCTTTCCTTCCTTCATCTCCTTCGCAGCTCTACTCTAGTCGCCGGCGATTCGACCATGAGCAGATCCGGCCAGCCTCCAGATCTCAAGAAGTAAGTCGCCTTTTTCCTTTCCCTTATCTTCTGCTCTGTATCTTCTTCCTCGGATTGCTGAAAATTTTGTTTTCTGTTGGGTATTTCAGGTATATGGACAAGAAGCTCCAGAGTAAGTGTTTCTACAAATCCTTTTGGTTTTGATTTTTCCTTCGCGTTTGTCCTTTGGGATGACGCTCTTCTGTTGGGCTTCTCCTGTTTACCGAAAAGCAGCCGTCTTTCTGCGTCTCTAGTTTAGACGGGTACAGTGTGCTATATTCAATATCTATTAGATTATTTTCGTCTGAACGACGGTATTAGCTTTGGCGAGAGGATAGGGGCAGTAGTCGCTGCCTGATAGAGGCAGAAGCAGGGCTACCGGAGCTATCTAGTCTGAGTGTGTGGATTGATATAGTCATGAGTTCCCCATGACCTGAATAAAGTTAGTGATATGATATGAGGTTGTTGCTTGGTCAAGTCAGGCAGATTGATACCCTATTGCAATGGCTTTTGAGGCCTGACAGAAAGCTTTTGCTGCTAAACTAAATCTCCTGGTCAGGTTTTGTGTTTCTTCGTTCGACTCATTGGTCAACAATCTACATGCATATGTCTGTACATGTGTTTGCTACTGATATATTGCTGTATATCGGTGTTTATATGTTTAGATAAATGTGCGTGGGAGGTTTGAGTTTGCTGGACTTATGGGATTCGTCTAGCATATGAAACTGTCGTTGGTAAAGAGCCCTTTAGTTGAATGGAGCCTGCCCTTAATGCAAATTGGACAAATTCTGATGCGCAGCTTGTTTGAAACTGTAGTAGTGTTGGCTCTATTACCTGAAGTTCTAGATGAACCATCATAGTTTAGAGCATCTGTATAATTTTTTTGGCTGTTAGTTTGAAGTTGCGTCTGACTATGTTCTTGTTGTTGACTGGGGCTATTTGAGTTGTATACATTATGATTCTATAAATGCAGTCAAGCTGAATGCAAATAGGATGGTGGTTGGGACACTTCGTGGGTTTGACCAGTTCATGAACTTGGTGGTGGACAACACTGTTGAAGTGAACGGTGACGAGAAAACCGAGATTGGGATGGTGGTAAGTAAACTATTTAGTGTTCTATCGTTTTGCTTCGAAGTTCGTCGTTTTACAGTAAAGAAAAAAGAAAAGTCATTCTGGGATATTGAGTTCAACTTTGCTTTTGGCAGGTGTTGAGAGGAAATAGCGTCGTCACCGTGGAAGCACTGGAGCCTGTAAACAGAGGATAATGTAGTCATGACTCTGTATTGTGTGTTGATATCTATGCTGGAGACTTTTTAACTACCGTGTAATCTGGCAGATATCATTGCTGTTAAGTGTTTTAAAGTTTCCTTTGGGCTCTCATGCAGCTACAGATTGTAAACCAGTCATTCCTATCTTAGAGTGAGCACAACTCTTTAGATGTCTTTCTGTTTGGCATCTTTAGAAGGTCAAGTAGCTATTATGCCATATGTGGTGAACTGGCATGAAAGTGAATGAAATCCAGAATTAGTTCTCTTCCATAGAGTTTGTGCATACTTTCCAAAATTTTGCCAGTCATACGTCATCAGCCAGTTTGGTGCTACAAATTTGCAATACATCCTGTCAACTAGACTAGAGGTGGCAATTGGATCGGATTGGTGGATTGGATTGATGGATCAAATGGATTAGATCCAATGGATTAGTGGATTCATGGATTGGATCAAATGGATTGGTGGATTGATCCATGAATCCAAATGACATCCAATACTTGGACCAAAATGTAAATTTTGAAAAGTTTAGGTACTAAAATGTCATAATGAAAATTTTGAGGTACCAAAATGTAAATTTTCAATGGTTTTTTTTCTTTAAAAAATATAAATTTTAGGTACCAAAATATAAAAAATATAGGCACCAAATTGTAATTTGCCATTTGGATCCATGGATTAATTCATGAATCCACCAATCCAATTGGATTTGGATCAAATGGATTGGATTTAAATGGATTGGATTGGATTCATGGATTTGGATCCTAATTGCCACCTATAAACTAGACACAACTTTCCACTATCCAACTGCTTCTCCACTCTGTGTGTAGGGGTGGGCACGTGGGTGGTTAATCCGCGGATTGATATCGATCCACCCGCAAATAACCCGACCCGCACGAAGTGGGTGATTGATGTGGGGGATTGCGGATTGATCAATCTCTCACCCGCACTTATGTGGGTGGGTGGTGGGTAGATTGCGGGTCACTCGTATGACTCACATCCTATTTATGTATGAAAAATGTTGTTTTTTATAGTATCAAATATTCATCATATTCTCGAACTGCACTACAATCTGACCATATACTTCAAAAGGTGGAGAATACAGAATAGTTTTGACTATTATTATTGGTTATTGTGTTGTGCAATATCCATTACATATTGTATATTAGTATGCAAATTATTGTTAATATTCATTAAATATTAGGATGCAAACTATAAATTATTATTTGTATCGAAATCACAAATTATTGATACAATCTTAATAGTTGTTGGAGAATTGCTTTTGCGGGTTGACCCGCGCCCCAACCACACCCATCCACCCAACCCAACCCGCATAAGTATGTGGGTGGATTGTGGGTCACAAATTTTCCAACTCGCTAGTAAGCGGGTGGGTCAATTTGAGACCAAAATCCACCCAATCCGCCCATTGTCCAGCCCTATCTGTGTGTGTGATACATCTTCATTATCAATAGCAACGTCGCCGCTGCTGCTACACATAACCCGAACTTAAACAACTTGTCACACAGTGCACTTCCCACGAAGCTGTTTGCTAGGAAGCCTGCGAAAGTTCAAAGCAAACAGTTTCAGATAAATGGTTAAGAATAGTTCATCCAAAAATCGACAGCAAAACAGGGTGGAATTAATTGACCAACTCACCCTCTGACTCCACCTCCCAACACTGTTTTCCAAGTCAACACGACGCCAAACTCGTCGTCAGCAAGGTACCGGCTATACCCGAACGGAATTTGGACGCTCTTCATCACTCTACAAAGCTCCGACACTCGAAAAGAAGACCTATCGCAAGCCTCCACCGTGTAGACATGATGCTCCCTCCTGAAGTGGCTACTGATTCTCATTTACAACTTGTTATTTACATGTGGGATTTATACGCGTTGGGAACTAATAGAATAACAGAGTGCGAGAGTTTGGAGGTGGTGGATGCTGTGAGTTAGGAACAGCAGTGGAGTGGGTTGCTGGGCATAACATAATCCGATTGACTTGGTCTCCTTATCACGCCCCCGCAAGTTGATGGTGGAGAACTTTCAACTTGTTCCGAAAATGAAGAAACTTTAGTCGAGGAAGCGGCTTTGTCAGCAGGTTAGCGATCTGGTCGTCGGTGGAGATGTAGCGGACGTGGAGTCGATCGGCAGCAACGCGTTCGTGAAAAAAATGGAAATCAATTTCCATGTGCTTGCTGCGGGAGTGAAATACCGGATTGGCGGTGAGATATGTTGCTCCGATGTTGTCGCACCACAGTTTCGGAGGGCAGGGAAGAGTGACGTTGATCTCGGAAAGCAGAGATTCGATCCAAACAATCTCGCCGGCTAATGTTGCCAAGGCTTTGTACTCTGCCTCGGTCGATGAACGGGCAACGGTGCGCTGCTTGCAGGAGGACCAAGATATGAGATGAGACCCAAGGTAAACGGCGTAACCTGTTGTGGAACGGCGACCGGTGACTGAATTCGACCAGGCGTCAGAGTAGCCTGAGAGAAGCAGAGGAGAGGTGTTGCTGAAGAAGAGGCCATGAGTTGTCGTGCCTGTGAGGTAGCGGAGAATGCGCTTTACATCGGTCCAGTGATGTTGGAGTGGATTATGCATGTGCTGAGCGCAGTAGTTAACAGCCTGAGAGATGTCGGGTCTTGTGAACTGAAGATACTGAAGAGCCCCGACAATCTGATGGTATAGTGATGGATTGGCGACTGGTGTGAGGTCGAGGTCTTTGGTTTCTGGTGCTGCTGGTGTGGAGAGAGAGAGTTGGCATTCTTCATGTTGGCACGATCAAGAATAGCTTGGATGTATTTTTGTTGAGTGAGGAGGAGACCTTTGGAGGTCCAGTGAGCTTGGATGCCGAGGAAATATGAAAGCTGGCCTAAGTCACGAACCGCAAAGCGTTCCTGCAAGTAGAGAAAAAGCGATTGCAAGGCAGACCCTTGGTTGCCAGTGAGTAGAATGTCGTCGACATAAACAAGGACGTAAAGGCGGAGAGATCCGCGACTGGGGATAAATACGGATGAGTCTGTCTTCGAGCCGCGAAATCCATAAGATTCCAATGCCTGTCGAAGACAATGAAACCAGGCTCGTGGAGCTTGCTTGAGGCCGTAGAGGGACTTCCGGAGATGACAAACATGAGAGGGTCGGGCTGGATCCACCAGGCGCGCCTTGTATCTTTCCATCGAGCCGTCAAAGCGTGTTTCAATGCGAAAGATCCACTTACAAGAAATGATGTTGCAAGCATATGCCGGGGAGACGAGGTTCCAGGTCTGATTACGGAACAGAGCATTGTATTCCTCAATCATGGCAGCTCGCCACTTAGGGTCACGGAAGGCTTGGCGTGCGGTGGTGGGAATAGGTGGTAAGGGCGGTGTGGTGGCGAGGAAGGTTTTGAGTTTTAAAGCCCCTTTTTGGTAGCGGGTTTTCATATGATGGGATGGAAGGGGGTGGGTGGTTGTACGAGTGTGTGAGAGACGGCGGGCAGGGGGCTGTATGGCTGTATGGGAGAGGAAAACGAAGGAGGAAATGGGGTTTGGGAAAAGTGCGTAGGGGAAGATTGGGCTTTCTAGGTAGTTTGGATCTGGGTTTGGTGGGAGGGTGGAGGAGAATGGTGGGCTGGGTGGAATTGGGAGTGGGTTGGGCTGAGGAATCAGCAGGGGGAGATGGAGCAGTGGGTGGGAGTAATGGGGGAGGTGGCAGTGGGTGAACAGAAGGGTGGGGAAGTGGATTGGAGATATTGTGAGGTGTGGGTTTGGGATTAAATAAGAAGCTTGGATAGGGAAGAGGAGTTAGCCCAGACGAGGTGGGTTGGGTATGAGAATAGGGTGCGGAAAGGAAAGAGGGTGACTTAGCATAGGGAAAACAGTTCTCATCAAAGAGAACGTGACGAGAAATGTGAATTTTATTGGTGGATAGATTATAACAACGATATCCCTTGTGCATTCGGCTATAGCCGAGAAATACACAAGGAGCGAAGCGAGGTTGGAGTTTGTAACGCGTGGTGGGTCGGAGCCAAGGATAACAAAGGCAGCCAAAAATATGGAGAGTGGAGTAATCAGGAGTTTGGGAGTGAAGAATTTTGAGAGGAGTGCGATTGTTTAGAAGGGGTGTGGGCATGCGGTTGATAAGATAGACCGCAGTATCAAAGGCGTATGACCAAAATTTGATAGGAATGGAAGCATGGTGAAGGAGAGCCAAACCAGTTTCGACAACATGACGATGTTTACGCTCGGCACAACCATTTTTTTGGGACTATAGGGGTAAGAGGAGCGGTGGATGATGCCATGTTCTTGGAGATAGGTGCCCAACTTTTGATACTCACCGCCCCAGTCAGCGTGAAAGATTTCAATGGGGCGATTGAAGAATTTTTGACTTGGGTGCGAAAGGTGATGAAGATGGATAAGAGATTAGAGCGATGATGAGTGGGAAAAATCCATGTAAATTTGCTGAAATGATCATAGAATAAGATATAATATAAATGACTATCAACAGACAGTTCAGGAGAAGGACCCCAAACATCACTACAAATCAAATCTAATGGACCAGTTGCTTGAAAAGAATAAGGAGTACATGGAAGCTTATGAATCTTGGCTACACTGCAACCATGACACAAATTGTCGGCCTTTTATTTGAAACATGAATGGAATTGCGATCTAAAATTTGACGAAGGACTCTAGAATGAGGATGACCCAGTCGTTGATGCCAGTGAGACAGAGACGTATGAAAGGCACGCGGGAATTGGGTCGAGCTTGGCCTCTTTGGTGCAGACGAAGGGGAGGAAATCATCGCCGAGGCCTCGGAGACAACGGTCAACCAGCTCGTTGTCCGTGATGGGATTGTTTAGAGCCGCTAGGTGATCCTCTATGTCCTAAGCGCGAGTGAGATACGTTGCACATGAGTCACCGCCGCGGGAGTGGTCGCCGAGTTGGGTTCGGAGGCCACGAAGCATCTGGCGATTGCCAGTTCCGTAGGCTGCTGTGAGTCTGGTCCATGCATCAAGGGCAGTGGTGCAACCAACGAGATGAGGAAGAACAGCGTCAGTGAGAGAGTCGGCGATCCAGGAGAAGACAAGTTGGTCGCGGCAGAGCCAGGCAACATAAGAAGGGTTGGGTTGGCCACTGGGAAGTGTACGTTCAAGAGCGGGAAAGCTACCATCAACGAATTTGGCAAGATCGAAACTAGTAAGAAGAGGGAGCACCTGCATATGCCAGAGAAGGAAATTGGTGGCAATGAGTTTGACAGAGATATGGGGAGTAGGGGGAGGAGTGAATTGAGAGAGGGAGGCATCAGAATTGGGAAGGGGACCAGTGGTTTCAGAGGTGTAAGAGGAGTCGGTGGCCATGAGGAAGTAGAGGCTGAGAGAGAGGAAGAAGAGGAGAGGAAAAAATTAATTTGCCGTTAGGCTGGGAAGCTCTAATACCATGAAGTGGCTATTGATTCTCATTTACAACTTGTGATTTACATGTTGGATTTATACACGTTGGGAACTAACAGAATAACAGAGTGCGAGAGTTTGGAGGTGGTGGATACTGTGAGTTAGGAACAACAGTGGAGTGGGTTGTTTGGCATAACAGAATCCGATCGACTTGGTCTCCTTATCACCTCCCACTCAAACACGCCACTTCGTCGTGCGAGTCCACGGAGAGCCCGACCGAGAAGTTCAAGTACTTGAACTCCTTCACCAAGTAGGCATACTCGAACGGGGTGAGGGACAGGTCGAGGAACACGCTGTGAACGCACCTTCGTGGGTCCAAAAGGGCGATTCTGTTTTCGTCGTAAGAGATCGAATTGATGACCAAGTTGAGGTGGTTCGGGAAGGTGATGGTGGTGGCATTGTGTTTGCAGGAGAGGGTAAAGCCTGGTTTGCCGCAGCCAGGAGGGTGGTGGGTTGTGAGATGGAACGGGGTGAGGATCTCTGGGGCGTTGGAGCTGCATTTGAGCGGAGCGCAATTGGATTGTGAGGAGGAGTGTGAAGTGGGGAAGAACGAGGAGATGATGAATAAATGGAAGAAGAGGAGAAAGATTAGAGCTTTCATTGGTTTTGGATGAAAATGGAGGATGGGCTGTTGTTGTTGGTGTTGTTTTTTTTTTTTGTGTTGATATATGCAGCTAAGGCAAGGGGGAAAGGGATGAGGGAAGAAGAAGGGAATAGTTTTTTTTCGAGTTGGGAAGGAAAGTCTTCTCCTTTCAGTATTAAAAATGAAAAGATTGCTGTCTCTAGGGAGTTTCTTCTGTAAGTCATCAGTCATGGGACACGGGTTGACGAGCAGAGACATAAAATGTTATAACGTAAGTCTTTATGTTAACATAGTTTTGTTACTAGTTTAAAGTTCAATTTTAAACTTTGGTGGTAAAAGAGATGCAAATGAGTGGAAAGTGAGGAGATTGGGACAAAGAGGATTTTTTCCAAGTAGTGCACATATCACGAGAACCTCTTAGCAACCCTACCCTGAAGAAAGTGCTACTAAACTTAACAACACAAGTGGGAGGAATACGAGGGTTGCCTTAGAGTAGAAGAAACTGCCTCCCACTCATTTGCAACTTCTATTTCAGGAGTACTTTTCAAATGGGAAGTGTTTACCCAAAAAAAACTCATTTTTGACTAGCATGGCAGCAAACAGACTCGGACAAAAGGACTAACAAGTAGAAACTTTGGTTTTCCGTATCTTTCACTAAGAGGTCCACTAGTGGGCTCGACTTTCTCCGCACCATTTCTCCCCCCCCCCCCCTTTCAAGTTAAAAACCAGGGTTCTAGACTAGTTCTATGATCTGTTGCTAATAAATAAATGGGATGACATTTTTTTTTATGGAAATGGAGAAGAAAAGTCGAGTCTTTCACAGGAAACCACAGCTTCCCTCTAGAACAAGTTACCAAGCATAGAATTAGATGGTATTGTATGCAACTTGAGTACATTGTCCCAAATATAAAGAATCGTGCTTAAACAGTTTAGTTCTCATCAGAATAAATCGATATTTGAAGCAGACATATGTCGAATTTTAAACCCTTGTAAACATATAAAATAGTCAGTGAAAATAATATAAGCGGGTTAAATCAAATTGTATCAAACGTATTTGCAATATGAATTCATCCCTCCCTCACCTTTTTATAAGGTTCTGTACTGATTTGGTTAAACTCTGGATTGAATGGGATCCTTATACAAATATCCAGTCACAAACCAGACAAGTGAAGAGAGAAAGAGTCTTTATGTCTGTCTGGATCTCATAGAAATCTATCACCAATAGAAAAGAAAAGGAGGTTTGGTTATATACATCTAGTGGCATACATGGGCATGCATACTTGTTAGCTCTCCAAGAGCGAAAGAAGCAATATTGAACACATCAAACAATAAAAAACATGAAGCATCACAGAGAAGTCTCGAGAGAAAAAGGCGATGCAATCAGCACGTAATGCCAGATATGACAAAGGCACAGGAATATAAAATAATAGATATCACACAAGAAAACATCTTCTACAATAATTCTTTGGCTAGCCTGATTGGTTTTTCTTTTTTCTTTATAAATGCAACCTCCCCGTTGGGTATGGGTAGCAAATGGTGATTCGAATTCTCTTCGTCGCTCACCAATGAGACGGTTGATATGATAGATCCTGAGCAATCATCATCTGTTTGTGTTCGGGTAGTCACAGTTAGTAAGTAGGCATTGAATACTTTCATAGTGGAGTAGAGATGAAAAGGCAAGTTATCAAACTTGAGTTTCCAAAACAATTGAGTGTTTGATCAATAAAACCACATATTCTTAAAAGAACAGAGACTAACCAGAATATCTCTCAGCTACATGTCGAACTGGTGCTACCTTAATGCTCTCTGGCAGTAGACAGTTGCAGAAGGAACCTGAAATCAGAAAAATAGATTTCTAATAAGATAATAGAAAAGCTAGTAGCCCATGAATTGCAAGACCGAAACAAGAAGCTGAAAACTTGCAACAGTTTCCAGAAGTAGGCTACGCCACCCCTTCAATATGAGGTTCAATAGGTATGAAATACGAAAGGGATAAGTAAAACTTCAATATCATACTCATGCTCATAGACATGACGTACCTAACCTAGCCATCCGATTTATCCATCCTGGAATTGGCTTTCCAGTGAGTCTCATGCAAGCTTCATTTGTGAAGTGATTGCAATTCTTGGCAATCAAATGATAACAATCACCATGGTAGTCTGCTGAAATGTGTTCCATTAATGTCTGAACTTCTACCCGTGACAAGTTGGTGTTGCCTAGCAACACTGCTCGTCGAAAGATGAAGCCCGGACAACTTCGTGGTTCCACCTCAAATATCCCACTGCTAGCGTACTCATGTGCTCCAAAACTAAACTCCATTCCATGGACTGATTATTGAATCCAATTAAAATTGTCAAAACACATTATAGACATCAAAATCAGTATGAAGTAATTTACTTAAATGCACATGATAGAAATATTTCACATTCCTGATTATAACTGTCATCTATGCTACCTCACTATCAAAATCAAGAATTCAAGATCTTTCTAAGCAACAAACACACAACCCATACATTCAAACAACCATTATCACCAATTCCAACATTAAATATATCATATGAGACATAAATTCTACTGAAAAGATAGAAACACCAACAAAAAGCCATGTAGTTGTCCATATAATAAATGTGCCACATAAGTCATGAGATTGCAATGGTGCATTAACATTTCCCAGTTGTGATGCTTCATAAATTCTTTTCTACAACTAGCATTTAACGCAGTAAGTAGCCTATCCATCTTATTCTTGCATTATGGCTCCTCATAGCCAAAGTTGCATAAAGAAATGTTGAAAAGCCACTCATTGCCTGCCTGCCTACGAATCAAATAAAATTCTAGTCTTTTGACACCTGGCCAGGCCTAAACATTCAGAGGATACATTCAGCACAAGGGAGTTGCTTGCTGATCTAAGGATGGACTACTCTAATTTGGTTTCTATTTAAATAGACACTAAAGTTTCCCAGGAATGTTAGCCCATTACTGAAGTTTCATTCTCTTAAGTAAGTCCATTTCAAATTACAATACTGACCTGTGAACATGAGAAACAGTTGAATTCATGCCTAGGATAAACTCATGAAGACTTAGTGCTAACCAGTGATATTCACTCCATTCATTCCGTAATGAAAAAAAAAAGACTCGCTCCATTCTCAGAACGCTTACAAAATGACAGAAGTTACAAGGAAAAAAAAACCCAAACTTTGACCATGGTTCTACACATATAATTATCAAAATGCGGCAGAAATAAAAAAAAACATGGTGGAACAAGCACAACTAGTAATGCTAACCCGGGAACTGAAGAAGGGGTACCTTCAATACCCGAATGGAAGATCCCAAGCCCGAACCAATAGAGGTAGTTATTTACAGTGGTAAGATCATACACATTCAGATATACCGGAATACGACTCCCCCCATCACTGTTAGAGCTTGAGCTGAAAGGGAAGAAATGCATTGTTTACAATTTCCAGTGGAAAACAATTCTCTCCCAAAATTTGCCTCCACCTCCACCTCCACCTCCGTTTACAGTTCTACATAACCATATCTTCTAGCAACAAAAACCCTATAGAGCAAAAAGCCGAAAATGGTGAATAACGATAACCTAATTCAATAGTTTCGAACAAGAAAATGACCAAAATTCATACATGAATCTTACATGTGAATTCAAATGGACGATACAAAGAAAATTCAGTATCGCCGGAAGACCCCAAAACAACTGCCGGATCTTGCAGCCGATCGGAGCTTGTTGGCGTTGTGGAAAGCCGGGGAAAGCAATGAAAGAATGCAAATTATTCCAGAAAGAGCGATGAAAAAAGGAGACAGCCTGAGAATTCTTCTTCTCGTTAATCTCCTTTACTTCAGAAACCTGGCTCACCGGAGTGAAGGATGATTATAGTATTTGAGATCGGAGACTGCAAGGACAGAGGAAATTGAAACGAAAGAAATTGCTGGCACTTTTTTTGCAGAGATGTTAGAGACAAACAAAATGACGACGACGAAAGATCCACCAATTGGATTATACACTTTCCAAGTGCTTCAATCATGAGGAAAGTATTGTTAAGTACAAATCGGTCCTCTTATTCCTTGTCCATTGACATTGCAATCCATTAAAATTTGTTATATGCCCATTCATCCGTCCAGTTTTTCATTTTTTGAAAACCGGATGTTTAGAAGGAAATTAATTATTTGATGTTTAATTGTTTATCCATCAAATTAATTGAGGGGTCAGTAAATGGTCGCTAAGTAGTAAATCACAATATTTTAATTTATTGTTAGAAATAAATAAATGGTCTAACGAAATTAAGTCGTCAATCAAAAAACTTTAATACATTGTCATAAATATATAATATATGGTGAAATATAAGCCACGAATGTATTCAATATCCAATGGTATAGCCGTTTTGCTAACCGTTTATATATTAATAATGAGTTTGTTTGCACAATATAAATCTCTTTACATTAGATATCATCAGGATTACTAGCCATACAAATGGTAAAAGAAATGAAACAAACCCCATATGTTACGAACACAAACAAGTCTGTTACTCCATTTACAACAGTCGTTTGATTTACCTTATGTAGCATTGGTTAATTAAACAACAACGTATAGTAAGATAAACACTATACTATGGCAGTATGACTGCATGTAGGGGTGGAGGTCGGTCGGTTCGGTTATAACCGAGCCACCCTTCCCACTACTGAGCACCGACCGAGCCACCCTTGCCGGTTAGCCAACCACCGACCGGTCAGTTACCGATTAGTTGGTCGATTAGCCGATAAAACCGACAATTGTCTAGCAAGGTCGCTGAAGGAAGAGTCGGCCAGTTTGTGGGGCACCGGCGAGGTCGCGGGCCGCCTACGATGTCGTGGGGAGGCGGCGCGGTCGCTGGTGCAGGCGAGAGCAAGGGTTGAAGGCGATGGTGAGTTGGCGACCGTTGGGGACATGGGAAGAAGAGGATATGGGAAGAAGAGGAAGGGGAGGGGAAATGACGGAGTCAGAGGAAGGGCAGGGGAGGGGAGGAGACGGTGACCACCGGGCGGAACTAGGTGAAGGACCGTTCGACGAGGGTGGATGCGGCCAGGTGAGAGGGGAGACAACGAGTGGGGTTAGGAGACGAGTAGGGTTAGGTTTTCGCTTGGGGTTAGGACTTGGGTGGATTCTGGGAATGGAGAAGCGGGGTCGTTTTGGGGAAGCAGAAGTGAAGCGGGGTCATTTTGGGATGGAGGCGGAGCTGCGTCATTTGTGGTGTGAAGCTCAAAAGCGGGCCAGTTAACCTTAGTTAACCACGTAACCAGTTTCTGGTTACTCGATTAACCATGGCACCACTCACGCCTTCTCAAACACCGACCGTGACATGTTAAGGGGCTATCTTCGGTTAGCCGAAAACCGACGGTTTCGATTAAAACCGCCTGTTAACCGCTAACCGGTAACCGCCCATCCACCCATAGCTGCATGCATTTTTCCTTTCAATGGCCTATGCAGTTGTCATTTCCATTTAGATTGTTGACGACATTGTAGTAGAGGCAAGATTGCCTATCATCGAACTTGGAGACGACTTGATGGGCAGAGAGTCCACATGATTGCTTATCGAACAATGTAGATGTTGCGGATCTTCTTAAACATTATATCTCCATTGATGACCGGCTGTGCCAGATAATCCTTGAGAGGCATCCACTGCAAAGTTCAGGGTTCGAGATGAAGTAGTGAAGAGTTTGAGAAAGTGGGTTTGGGGATTTTGCAAGTGATCACTCTGGCTGCTTGAATCTCATCGTCGTCTGTTATGATATGAGGTGATAAGGGTTCCAGCATGCATGTGAAGAAGAGATTGGAATTCTGGAATGCAAAGTTAAGAGCATGCCTGCAAATTTGAAGATTACCAGGGACATCTCAATGTCAATGCCCATGAAGTTGGTTTCCTGGAGCATGTTAACACATGAATAGTCACTCCACTTTGGAGCTTTCTACTTCAGTGGCCGTATTAACACAGTTTAATAACAACAGGGAGTTTTTGGTACCTGAATGCCATCACTTCCACAAATGCAATGTCGATCTGCAGAAAAATAAACCAAAGGAAGAGACCGTGTTTGAAATTAAACAATGGATGATCACAAGCAATTAAGTTCTCTTTGAAGCTAGAGAAGGAAGGTGATAAAGAGGGTTATTGAATTGGGGAAGGCATCATGGTGTTACCCCAGTTTCTTCATGACTTCTCTTATGCCATCTGAGTAAATTTCCTTCGTCTCAGATAAATTAAAACCAGTTTTAGAGTAAAATCCACAACTTCAAGTTCAAGTCCATTCTGTTTATTTTTTCCAGAAGATGCCAAACAATGGCCATAAATTTAGGCCACCCAATGGTTTTCTCTTTCCTTTGTTTTTGGTGGATAAAAGGATCTGATGGCTTGGGAATACACACAAAAGACACTAGAATCCTTATGTTTTCCTTACGGCGTCTACATTTATAATGTTGGCATCCCCATAGAACTCATCATCCCCTTTTTTCCCCTCTCGTTGCAGATAGCTTCATTCAAGACGAGAAATTAACAACCATCCCTAAAACAGAGGAGCTAAGTTGCAGAATAAAAAACAGAGGAGCTAGAGAAATGGGAGCTGGTTTTTGGAAAAGTTGGTGCCTAGAATGGTGGGAAGTGGCAACTCCTTGACCCTGGGATTGATTAGGGGAGAAGAAATTTTTTTTTGAAATTGATCTAAAAAGAGATTCAATAATTGAACGGGGATTTTTACCAAAAAAAAAAATAATTGAACGGGAAGGAATATGTGGTTCATTCTCTTTTAAACGAGGACAACAGCTTTATGTCTGAACATGAAAAGCACCCACAGTAACATATTTTCTTTTATCTATGGCATATGAATTTGAAGGTGACAATCGGTTTCCCGTTTAACGGTTTAACCTGTAACCGACGATTATCGGTTAAACCCATAACCGGGAAAATCGGTAGGCGGCAGTGGAATTGGGGCATTTGATATACCAGACCCCTTGCCGATATATACCATCGGTATTCTGGTTAAACCTGATACTGATATGGTAGGTGAGGGAGGCACAAAACATGGAGAAATCCTAATCTCCAATCGGGTGTCCACTTCCCGTCTTCCCCTCCTCCAACTCTGCATCCCCTCTCCCCGCTGCGATTCTCTGACTCTGCCTCCCCTCTCCCCGCCGCGACTCTACGGCTCGCCGCCTTCGCTTCTCGGGTTCTCCGACTTGACTCCCTGTCCGTCGCTCTGATCTACGAGTTGGCGACTGCGACGCCGCCTCCGCTTCCTCCTTCCCTCATCGAATCTGCCTCCCCTTCCTCCTTCCCTCCGTAACGTCGTTGCCTTGGTTTGTGGACCTCCAGCAGTTTTTGAAAAGTTCCAGAGACTAGTGGTAAGGAATGGTCGAATGATTCCCTTCCCTTGGTCGGATGATTCATGTCTCCAAATCCAATGTCTGATATGTTCTTCCTTTGTTTACTTGTTGTTGTTGATGAAAATTGAAAGCAGAGGCAGAGCAGCAGCTGAGTGCGCCAGCAACACACTCCTCCACAGCAGGTAGCAAGAAGCCAGCAGTAGTGCCCCAGTGCCAATTGCCAAAGCAGGCTGATTCGAAAAAATCATAAAAATGTATGTATATGAGAATTGAGAAGGAGGAGATTTTAATTTTTATTGAAAGTGGTGACAAAGAATTGATGAGAAGTGTAGTATGTGAAGTGAAATTATGAGAAATTTCAATTGACAGTGTATATGTGTGTGTTAGTATATATGGCTATGAGTTTCAATGGATGAGAAGTTGACATTGAATTTTTTGAATTTAATTGGCTACTGAGGTTGATTGAATGGTTTAGTATTGATTGAATTGTGGTTTAGGAAATTTATGTGTCCATTTTGTTTTACTTTTGTAGGACGAAACCTTCTGGCAGTCATGGAGAAGGTAATAAGAAGAAAGAGGATTCGCTACCTCCTCGAAGCTCGTCAAAAAAGGGAAGGCTTCAACTAGTACACCTTCTTCCACTGCAGCAAATCCACCTCCTCCATCTGCAGATAATTCGTCCCCTACTACTGATGTTGGTGCTGAGGTACCTGGTGTGCAAAAGAAAATTGTAAATGAGAAGGGGAGGAAGAGGATATCTAAGTGGTGGATTCCCTATAATCGTGTGCTAGTGGATGGCTACCCATACGACAAATGCAAATGATGTGAGACGCTGATCAAAGCTCATTCAAGTCTCAATGGGACTACTGGTTTGAAAAACCACCATCTGGCATGCGAGAGGAAGTCGAGGGCAGCTAGTGGTCAATCAGTATTGAACTATCAACCTGGAAGTGGGGTTGGTGAGGTAAGCTCTCTTACTCCATGGAAGTTTGATCAGAACAAAGCTAAAAATGCATTAGCTATGATTATCATCTTGGATGAGCTACCATTCAGATTTGTTGAGCGTGAAGGGTTTAGGAGATTCATGCCACAACTCAGCCTTTGTTTGTCATACCTGGAAGACAAACAATAAGATCATATTGTTATGTCATTTTTCTGGAGATGAAGCAAATGTTAATTGAGTTTTTCAACTCAAAGTTCAAAGGAAGGGTCACTATAGATACATGGACTTCTGATAACAATCAGAATTATATGAGTGTGACTGCACATTTTATTGGAGATGATTGGAAGTTGCAAAAGAGGATAATTTGCTTTGTTCCTATTACTAGTCACACAGGAAAGGACATTGCAGAAAGTTTGGCAACATGTCTACAAGAATGGAAAGTGAAGATTCTATTTGTATGACAATGGATAATGCCACCTCTGATGATGTTCTAGTTAAGTACATGAGAACAAAACTGAAAGGGTGGGGATCGCATTTTCTAGATGGGAAGTATCTGCAGTATAGATGTGTGGCACATATAATCAATCTAGTTGTTTCTGATTGGTTCAAGGAGGTTGGAGTTGCTGTGGAAAGGGTAAGGGGTTGTGTGAAATGGGTGAAGTCATCTCCAGCCTGGTGTGCAAAGTTCAAGTCTAGCATTAGGTATCTAGAGATGGATGATAAAAGACTTGTGTCTTTGGATGTTCTAACTAGGTGGAATTTCACCTATTTGATGTTGGACTCTGCAGAAAGGTTCGAGCCTGTGTTTAAGCTCATGTATGCTAGTCCAGATGTTTCCTTCCGAGACTATGTGGACTCCAAGAAGCGTGTTGCAAGTGAAGAAGATTGGTGCAACATTAGGCGGCTCATGAAGTACTTGAAGTTCTTTTATGACCTTACCCTTCGTGTATCATGTATGTGAATGTCTAAATTTTCAAATTCATATCTTAAGACTTAAAGGGAATGATTAATTGATTATGAGTTATAATATTTATATTGATGATTTGTTATTTTTACTTTGTATCAGGAACATCATATGTCACAGCACATACTTTCTGCAGAGCCATTGTTGATATTCATGAAGTGATAGCGACATTGAAGAAGGATGTAAATATACATATTCAAAGAATGACAGAAAGAATAGAGGCAAAGGTGAAGAAGTATTGGTTTGAGAATGATGCTAATGACGATGAGGATAATCTTAGGATAATAGGCTAGTTTACATGGCATGTGTGCTAGATCCCAAGCATAAACTAGACTATTTAACTATGATGTTGGAAGAGATGTATGGGATGCCAAAAGGGGAAGCTTTGGCAGATGAAGTAAAGAAAGAGATGGATGCAATGTTTGAGGTCTACAAGTTGAAGTATACACCTCCACCCTCTGAGTATGAGCATACTACTCTGACTGAGACTGTGGGGGATAGTACTAGTGATGGATCTTCTGTTATGAGAGAGGCATTTGAGGCTCGGTTTCAGCAGAAGAGAAAGTAACAACTTGAGAGGGGGGGGGGGGGGGTCGAGGTGCTGGTTGTGAGTTAGACTCCCATTTGAGAGATGTTGGTGATGGTATTAACGAGGAACTTGATGATAGGAAGTTTGACATTCTGAAGTGGTGGTCTCGGAACAATGTTAGATATCCCATTCTTTAAGAGATGGTTAGGGATATTTAGTTGTTCTAGTCTCTTCTATTGCCTCGGAGTCCGCCTTCAGTTGTGCATGTCGATTTCTTAGTCCTTTTTGATCTTCTTTGAGCCCAAAAATTGTAGGGGCCTTGATTTGTGCTGAAGATTGGATAAGGTATGAAAGTGGAAAGACTGCAAGACTGGATGATAATGAAGAAGATCAAGAGACAGGTGATTATGAAAGTGGTAAGAATTCAATTCATTACTCTAATTTGACTATACTCTTTACTATTAAACTATTCCATTATTAACATTTGTGTTTTTTTCTTATTACTAGTCACTACTACTTTTCAAGCTCGATTGGAAACTGCAAGTGATATGCCAAGTGCAAGTGGACCTAGAGCACATAGCTTACCTGTTGCGATTGATGAGGAGGAGGAGGAGGATGATGATGATGACAACGATGATGACGGTGATGATGAAGATTCCAACGAAGAAGACATGAACCTAGATTACGATGACGATCCATATGATACTCTTCTCAGCACTTTGAAGCAGAAAGGTTGTGCTAATGTTGGTGGTACTACAAGTTCTATTGGAGATGGAGGAACATGAGCTAGTGGTTGTTTGATGATTTGATTTGTTGATGTTTGTGTTAAATTTGGGATCCCGAAAGGCCGAATAAAAACAAATTTCGCCAAGACAAGATGATCACCACATCTTATCTACAATCGTGATCGTCATTACCGTATTCTTGTTTAATGGTTATGGAAAAATGATTAGCAAATGACATCACCAATTTCATCGTGAAAAAGAAATATGTTTTAGATAACCGTCTATCAAACTTCTTGAAAATGTCTGGGCTATTCGATCTCTGCACAGCTTCAGCCTAGAAAACCTTGCATCAACAACCAACTTACAGTTTGCTCTTGCCATAATGCCATGCACATCCTAGGACAATAACTCTTTCTACACATCTCATCATAGCCTCTTCGAAATCCAACAAGATTCGAGGAGCCGAAGACAAGAAACAAATACAGATTCTTCTTCTCCTTCATGGAATACCATATAGTCAGAAGCTCTCACCCCACTGCACCATCTGATGCTTTATGACTTGTTGGAAACTGTTCAAATCCAGAGACATATGCCTTTCGACTCTTCCAACAAGCCATATGCAAACTTTTCATGATAGGAATCTCCCTATCGTGCATATTATCCTTAATTTTGATATCCTACTTGGCTACCGCCTACCAGATTCACCTTCTCACCCCTGCTTGAATAAAACAAGTTCAATCAGAAAGACCTTTCATGCTACCACACTTATAAGTCTACCTACTCGACTGAGTTTGGCTTAACCACCATTCCTTCATAATCCTACTGATGCCAGCACAGAAAAGCGGACATGCCTCTACCTCCATACCTAAATGAAATACGACATGCCTATCCCTTTGAGATCCAAGGCAAGCTCAAATGTAGCAACCGAGTAGACTGGTTTGTCATCTAAATCACAATACATTGTCATAATAATTCCACAAAGAAGCATTTACCCTCAAATTGTTGACAGTGAACTAATACAAGAGAGTTCAAATATAAGCAAATGGGTTTTGGGTTTTGAGCTCTGTGGATTGCAAGATGAGTTACAGAGAGTAGAAATAGAACATTCCCCCACAAGTATCTGAATCAAATTCAAACAAACTTAAGAATTAGCATCATGATTGCATAATAGTATAACTGGTATCACATACTACTATCTCTGCCCAATTCTAACTTAAGCACGCCGTGTATATTCGACAGATAGGGAAGTGAACCAGCTAAATGTATGGATTGAAGGGGGATCTGAATCATATAGGGCTGAGTAGCTGGTAGACGTGGGGGCTTCGGCTCGAAGTTCATGCCAATAACGATGATCAGGGGAATGAAGCCGTAGGAGCGATGACTTCAGACTTCTCCAAGATCCAAATGCTCCACTTTTCAAGCACTCAACAGTCGATTTCTCTATTGCGCCATTGGCACCCATTTTCCTGCTGTCGTTGGGCTTTAGCGAGATCTTGGGCGCCATTATTTCTCTCCTCTCGTCGCTTCCTTGAATTCAAAGGACTTCGATTCCTGCACTCTGCTCTGCAACACCTTTCGCAAAAATGTTAAGAGAGAACCCTAACAAACTGAGACCTCGAGCATTTGTCAAAAGAACCTTTATTTACTTCTCTGGGTAGCAAATTGTCAATTCCAAAAATTATCCCGCTGTTATCCCTTAAACTTTTGCATTCTTCCTCAAGGAGCCCTTCAACTACTCTATTGCCTAAAACGAGCCCTTTAATTGTTGAGCCTATTTGAGGATTATGGAAAAAAATTCTCATTAAATTAAAGGGTTAATAGTATTTTGTAGGTTTAATAGTATAAACTACCCTTTACTATTGTATTTTCTCAAACTTTCTCTCTTACTATTTTTCACATCATGTTTGCCCCTATACTATAATTATTTTCTCAAACATGCCTTCAGGTATATTTTCCAATATGTTTCTGTTAAACCTACCTAGAATGACTAGATTAACCTTAATTCTTTGTGGGAGGAAATTTTGAATATAAACCCAAAATAAAAAAGAAACTAATTTCCTCTCCCGTCTTCCACCATGCAGATGATCCCAACGTCCCCCTTCCTCACCTATTTCCATTCTACATCTCTACTCTGGTGGGCCAAATTTTGTACCGTTTGTCACAACCGCCTCCTCGGGGTCGGGTCGGGGTTCGCTTTTTGGAGTCGCCATCGATCTTACTTGGAGTGGATCGAAAGTTAAGTAATATCCCCACAACGCTCGAAATCGGTACTACTTATGCTTGATAAGTTTAAATGTGTTGGGTGTGTTTTTAGTAATGATTTTGTATTTTAAGGGTCACACTGGACCATTAAATAATTTTATCGTACTAGTTGAATTTAATTATACGTCCACTGACGTACAATTTTAAGATAAAGTTAATTGGTTAGTTGGACTCGAACCATATCGGTTGCCTACGTACCCGTAACACGGGATCAAAGTCCACATAGTTCGTTGAAACTTTGATAATTTTAAATGTAACTTTTACCACATTCCACTGATCGTGGTTCTGGTCATAAAGATTTTTGTTAATAAAATTTGATTATTATGAAGTTATGAAAAGAGAACATAAGGATTCCAGTTATTAAAAGAAATTTGATATATTAGAAAAGAAATATGATTAACCAAATCCGCATTCAAATTTGGTATTAAGAATATTAAATAATAAAACAAAACGGACTAATTAATGTGATGAGCAAGCAGCCCAACTGGTTCGACCGCTGCTTACAGATCTCGTACATGCCTTACCACACGAATTTGAAATTCGGGAACAACTAATTTTGGTGTTTTTCGTTTTGGGACGATGCTAGGGGCATTTTTGTACTTGCACAACACGGGGTATATAATTTTTTTTTAAGAAAACCCCTAATCTAACCTGAAGCTAAACGTCGCCCAACTCTCTCGATTCCTCCTCTCGCTCTACTCTCTCTGTCTCTCTATTCTTCCTCTGCTTCTTTCTTTCTCGTTCTCCTCTTCTCACCTAGAAAAACATAAACGACACAAATATCTCCTCACCTTAGCCATCGTCGCCTCTTATTCCTCCTGCCAGCCAAGAAAGCGATCGAAAGCCCTAAAACGATCCCAAAATTATACTCTCGGGCGAGTCAATCTAGGTGAGATATGGCTTGCATGCAGGGTTTTTGTTTTTGGCTCTGGGTTTTGTTCTTTATTTGAATTCTACTAATATTCTATTTTTATTTTATTTTCCGATCCACCGATCGAGCGTCGGCTGGCGACGGCATGCGATGGATGGTAACCCAGCCCTCACTTTTTTTTTTTTTTTGTCGATTTTATGAGCATGACTTTGATTATTTCTTTTGGTTTTCCTTATGTGTTGGGGTTTTGATTTTGGCAAGACGAAGAAGTGGGTCTTCACCGGCAACAAAGAAGATAGCCCACTAAAGCTAAGTTTCTTCGCTTTAGGGGTTTGTTTGATTTTTCCTGCTGAAGGATTCTGACCTCTATTTCTCCTTTTTATAGGTTTGGAAAAGAGCCAAATCTAGGTGATGCTTCCCACCTCACGACTTTGTATGATAAATAGGAAAACATCAAAAATGGAATTTTGTTTTTATGGGTTTCAGGTTCTGAGTGCTAATTAGCTAGGAATTAATTCCTTAATTTGCTGGCCGAGTCTGTATATTCAAAAAATCGCTAGTGTTGCTAAGATCTAGATCAAAATGTTTAAGATAGCTGAAAGTCACAGCCATTGCTTGTGATTTTAGAATGAAAGAATAAGGTTATGTCTTGAGTTTGGGGTAGCTGTATTCTATTTAGTTTTTCTTTTGTTGGTCACTTGTTTCTTATTAAGTCCTATCTATTAAAAGGGTCTTAAAACAACCTAAAGTAACATATTAGTTTGCGATTAACTGGTTTCTTATCTTGTGATTTTTATTGATAGATAGTCGAAACTTCTCTATCATTTACTATATGATTGAAAACATTAATACTTATATTTTACAGGTTTGATAAACTTGAGATCACTACTACTTAATTACGATTTTCTCTAAATCTTGCTCTTTTCACAAATGAGTGGGAATAGATTTTCTTGTGGGGAATTCAATTAAGTTAGATCTAGACAAACATATTCACCTTTAGTAACTAGCGTATAACACGGATCACAACAACAAATACCACTAACTCATGTATAATAAGGGGCACAAAAGAGAAAAAAGGATAAGATCTGATTCTTTATTTACTTGGATATGCTAACAGAAAATATGAAGATCGGCTAATCAAGGTTAAATTGTAGATCTGCTAGCATGAGTTGGTTTCAAATCATAAAGAGTGAGTGGAAGCAAGATTAGACCAACAAACAACCATAGCATAGCATGTAGATCTATGACACAATCATATATATGTGATGAAGACATTGATTTCAGGTCTACCATGATAATTCGTTTATGATTTCAGCTATGTTCATTAATATTATCCTCATAAATGATGAAATATGTGATGTGTTTAGATTTGAGAAATACCAACCTCGAACTGTGAAGAGTGATTCTTTTGGTGGATTTTCTGTTTGTTGCTTGTTGTCTCTTTGCTGCTTGTCTTGTTCTTGAGCCTCTTTTGCTATTGCTCTATTATGCCCTTTCTCTCATCGGAACCAGACTTAAAAATCACTCCCCCAATCAGGTCTCTCCCTTTCTTTTGATTGTAACCGACCTCCTTATCCCTCTCTTTTCTCTTTCCCCAAGATGGACGAACTCCCCCTCCTTTGTTGTGGCTGGCTACTTTTTATTTGTTCCTGAAGTGGTGGACTGATCCACTCCTTGTGATGGCTAAATTCTGTTGGTTTTTGGAGGAGGTGGTTGTCCTCTTCTTTTTCGAGCTGCCCTTTAAAATGTGATATTGACAGTAGAGACTAGTTGACTCATAGTTGACTTTGGTTGACTCAAGCTGACCATAGTTCACTTTGATTAACTCAAGTTAACCAAAGATGGGCCGAATCTGTGGACAGACTTCTGGCCTGACTTGCCCTTGACTTTGGCATGGGCTTGGACTAACTAATCTCTTCTTTTTGCAGGTTGTTGTGGCTGGAAGGTTATGGGTTGTAATCCAGATTGGGTTTCATTTAATTGGAGTCATTTGTATGTGTTTTATTTTAGTATATGTTAGCATTTATGTGTAAGAGCCCATTTAATATTAGTTAATATTTTTCTTTCATTATTAGCTATATGTACCGTGAATGAAACAATTTTTTTTAATAAAGCTTACACACTATTCAAATTGATCCCTCGGTGTTAACCAACCCGATTCTAGCAATGAGCAAATCTAACGTCATAATTATTGTTTCTTATATCCCGTGTTGGATAGTTTGTCATTGCTATCTTAACTAATTTATCATAGAATCCAATGAGCCTTAACTAATTTATCATAGAATCAAATGCACTTGGTAATTATTGATGCTTATCGACTCGCCACTGCTAGTCTCACTAGAATTAGATAAAAGCAAGCTTGGAAATCATTGGTACTTATTGACTTGCTACTGCAATCTCAAATAATTCTTCCCAAGCATCCTATTTAATTTATCATTATACTATTTTTCTTTTTGAATTTAAGTACAGTGTTTGCCGAAAAAAATGTGGTGTCTACACCGCTATTGCTAATGAAAATTCGGCGGAAAACATAACAGAATGACATATTTGAGAACACCATCAAAATAAAGGGGTAGTTTTGACGCAAAACATAATAGAGGGCATGAGAAAATCTAATAGTAGAGGGCAACTTTTCCTATTAACCTTATTTTGTACCCTCTACTATGATAAATTAGCAAACATACTTCTCAACTAAATTTTTGCGCAAACATACCCTTCAAATATTAAAATATAATGAATTCACCTTTCCATCCAATTATCTGTTAAGGTGTCGTTAAATGAGCTGTAAAATGACCCAATTGCCCCTTATTTACTCCTAATTTCAATATTAATTATTTTATTTATGTCCCAAATCAATTAATTTAAAAATTAAATCTCTAAACTAATTCAAAAGAATTGTCCCTCACCCCAAACTCTCCCTTGCAATAAGTCATGCGACTCGACGGCGGCAGCGACACCTACTCTTCGTTCACACTAGAGACGATACATCTATCTACGCCACTCCAGACGGCGGGTGGCTGTCGCACACGGCGCAATCGTTCACCAGTGTAAACCCCCAAATGCAAGTATTCTCCTCAAACGTCAGGTAAAGGATTACTGTAAATATTTATAGCTTAATGCCCTTGAGGCTGCAATCACAATTCAGTCATTCAAGTCAACAAGCTTTAGAATCCCCTATAATGACCCAAAGGAAACATATATTTATTGGAAGACAGATCAAGCGTGACAACACCTGGACAAGTTGAATTGACGAGGAACGAAGGATCCCGCCGGGGGAATCCTTCCCAGTTAGCGATGCCGCCGTATGCGACGGCACAACCGCCATCTAGGACGGTGCAGATATTTGTGTCTTCTCCCATGTGAACGAGGAGTAGGTGTCGCCGCTGAGTCACATGAGTGATCGCCAGGGAGACGGAGGGTTCTCCTGAATTAGTTTAGGAATTTAATTTTTTTAATTAATTGATTTGAGACATAAATAAAATATTTAAAATTTAAATTAGGAGTAAAAGAGGGGCAATTGGGTCACTTCTCTGTCCATTTAACGGTATTTTAATAGATAATTAGATAGAAGGGTAAACTTATTACGTTTTAATATTAGAAGGTATGTTTGTGCAAAAATTTAGTATAGGGGTACATTTGTTAATTTACCATAGTAGAAGGACAAAAAATGCTATTAACCCTAAATTAAACACAACTTACCTTCTTTTAGTTAACTCTTTAAAAATTCAAATTTATTGTACTAAACAATAGTAAACAGACTATTTTTCCCTGAACCAAAAATAACCTAAACCAATCAAAATTTACTTGCCCAAAATCGACTTGGCCCTTCCCCTCCCCCTCCCCCTCTTTCTCCCCTCGCCAAAATTTGAGGCTGTCCTACTCTGACGAAGCTCGCTGACCTTCCTCTAATTCAGACCTATGTGTGCCCAGCCACCAAATCCGAGACGAGAAGAACAAAGGTCGAGGCGAGGAGGAAGAGCGAAGGTTGTCGTCGACCTCTCGCCCATCTCTGTTGCATCACCTGATCTATCTGCTCTCAGCTCTGCTGAAGAAGAGGAGAATAGCTGCCAAAATCTTTTTTTGTTGTTGTTGGGTATTACTCGCCAAACGGGTTGAAATTCCCAATCGTCAGGGCAGAAGGTCCCTCCTCCGTCGAGGAAGAAGGTCACCAAAGCTCAGCGGTGTCGTCCCTCCCAGCTCGTCGTCCAGCCCATATTTGTCATCGCTGTTCATTGCTACTAGAAGAGGAAGCTCATTTCCCATGTAAATCTCTCTTTTTTTTTAAATTCTAGTCACGACAATGGGGCAGGTTGAAAACTCATCGCCTACAATCTTCACTATTGTCCACTTCTCTTATATCTTCACAAATGACCCCACCTTTGTCAAGTCTCTTCCTTTATTCTACTTCCTGTTTATTAGAAATTGGCAGTCTGATTCAATGATATGCGGGTGCAATTGTAACAATGCATCTTTGTCACTACAAACAACATTGCTCTACCTTCAGCAAGTTCATGCCTCCAACACTCCTCTTCTCTCCTGGTTGCCGCAAATCTCACTGAACCATCCCAATCCCGAGCCACCATCCCTAATCCCCGTGTCTGACATTCCCAAACACCTTGCATCGACATTAACCTTGCGAATACCCATCCCTGGTGGCTTTCATTTAGTGATGGCAGTGGAGCTGGGCGAGACGACTATCTCAATACCCATATCCATCCCACATTAAACGCATATTAGGTCGGGTAATCCCGTATGGGTGCAGGGCGAGGCGGGTCGACCCATCCTTTTATGTTATTTGAAAAGAAACGTTGTATTTTAACTCTTTTACAAGAAAATGTAACACCCCGGTATTTTAGATTTGGGTTCGACCATATTTAATGAGCGGTTAGTTTAATGGTTACGTACTAAGAGTTACAACCGCGGATTAAGAATAATAATAATAATAATAATAATAATATACTTAATAAAGGGGAGGGAGGGCCAATGATGGTCTCTCACGTGGGTTAATCACAGCAGCCGTGATTGATCTTTATTGGTGAGAATTAGGCGAGACTATGGGATCCCTAGAAGACAAATTATTCTCAAGTCCTACCTAACGTGATAGTAGCTACGACAAGATGGGAAAGAAAGAAACCCTAAGCTAGAAGCTCTCCCCAGCAACCCTTCCGTCCCATTTTATTTCCCCGGAGAAAAGCAGCGTAGCGGCGGCAGCGAGAAGCAGCCTTAGGCCCTGACATCGCTAGCGCGGCAGTAAGAAGCAAGCAGCACACTGTCTTGCCGTAGAATCATCCGCTATTAATCACCATCCCAGATCGTTGGAGGTACAAAGGATTTTGGGATTCGGAAGGTTACGACGGCGACCTCGGCATGCTCGACCTCAATAAAGCGTCAAACACTTGGTACCATCGCGTAGGGGACAATCTCAGGAACACCCCGGTTTGGACGGAATCAAATTTCGACGTTGGACGAGGGAGATACGAGCCTCGAAAGTTTGGGATGCAAATCGGATAGTTCAGGTACTAATCTTATCAATTCGAAAAAGTTTGAGGATTAAATCTGTAGTTTTTCCAGATAGGCCGTGGTCAACAATGTTGACTGGAAAAATTTCAGTTTCGGTACTTGGTACTTTTAAACTGACAGAATGTTTATTTGGTCATAACTCAATCAATTGACGTCAGATCGAGGAACCGTCGACGCCTATGGAACCGTGGGAACGAGGAGAATTTAATGAAAGCATGTCATGGAATTTTTAGAGTGGAGTCAGAGTCATGTTCGACGGTTTCGAGGTGAGTGCAAAGGGGGTAAAATCTATGTCGAGGTCTTTTAGTTTATGTCTTTTAACTTCAGTTATGTTAGTTACTTTCGAGTTATGCGCGATATGTGTGTGAGGCATCCCACCGCCTGTAAGGGTGGAGGCACGCATTCTGCTATGTATGAATGTATGGATGTATGATTGTAAGAGTTGGATTGATGGTATGAGGAACCCCCGGGTGGTTGGGTCACTACTGGACGGCGAGATGTAACACAGTAGTTGACGGGCATGGACTGGACGGCGAGACGTAACGCAGTGCCATTGCCGAGTTTGGGTATGCAACTGGACGGCGAGACGTAACGCGGTTGGCATACTAGGGTAGGACACCGGACGGCGAGACGTAACGCGGTGGTCCTAGTGTTTTGTGTTGAGATAAGGACAGAAGTTGAGAACTTTTATGAGTTAACGTTGAGATGAGTTGATAAGAATGGTTATTTAAGAGCAGAAAGCGAGAACGCTTCATGCTAGGAAGCAAACTCTAATAACGTGTTTAGTAAGGAGTTTGCCTAGGGCAAAGACCTCAGGAAGTAACGACGAGACTGACCCCTTCTCCCTCACCAGGTTGAGGATAGTCTAGCATAAGTGGATCACGAGAAGAAGCAGGGCGAGGCGAGCAGCGGTACCGGCACCGACGGGATATCGGAAAGCTCGTGAGGAGTCACGTTAGATTAGTTAATTATTTCTGTTTCATGATTATTGGTATAAACTGAAGATTCTGTGTTAAGTCGTTTTAAGTGTTTGAGATTGAGAATTTTGCCCAAGTGTTGGGGCTTTTCGTTAAAGATTCTTAAATGATGTCGGTTTTTTTATTTTTAAAAAGTGGTTTGGGTTGCTCCGGAGTAACCGGTTTTTGGTTTGAGTTATGGTTTGGTTTTCAAAAAAGAACAGGTCGTGTCATTTTGGTATCAGAGCCGACACTCCTCTGTTCCTTGGACTCCAAGGAATACTGGAGTGACGATCTGCGTTTTTTTTAAGGTTTCAGTTTTTCAAAGGAAAGGGAAAAGGGAGTGTCAGTTAAAAGTTTGGCCAAACGAGTCAGAGTCTTTCAGAAATTTTTAGAATCTCCAGTATACTCTAATCATGATAAGGAAATAACTGTAGGATGCCCTATGGGGTTATGATACGTCTTGGGAAGGAGAAGGAGCAGGTTCCTAGAGGGATCCTTTAGTGAAACCCCTTCATGAGTGAGAAGAGGAGGGTCAAGGTAGCTCATATTCTATGGGTATGTAAGCTGATCAGAATAAGGTTATGGAAGGAGCCAAGCAGTTAGTACATCGACTGGTAGAGCCAAGGAGTTATCGCGAATGTCGCCATAATGGAGAGGAAAGGGTACAAGGAAGGGTTGTGGAGTTCAGGAGAATTGAACTTAGGGCTACAATCCCAAGGAGCAGAGGAAAGTTAGACCTTAAGCAACGCTAGGGGCACCTAAGCAAAGCACAAGAGGAACTAAGTAGGTCATAGGGATCATGATTAGATGTCATGGGATCAATACGTCAAGGCTAGGAGGAAGCACGTTCATGTACATAGATCAAATGAGGAATCCCTTACGGCTACAATACGTCCTTAAGAAGAGGAATCGTGGATCTGGGCAATTAGGTCAGCGGAAAGTCCTTGGAGGGAAGGAGAATACCAGCGAGATGAACGATGTAACGAATGCGGTAAGAGCAAGCGCACTATGTTACTGTTAAAGTGCAAGATCGAGGATAGGTATGCAAGGGATTCCTACCAGATGGTGATGGGATCCGCAGTCTCCACTACTTAAGTTTCGATAAGTCACTGGATAGTGCTACGTTCCGTAGTAGCCAAGACTCAAGTGGAGAGTCACCATATTGTGAGGATGGCGGGGTGTAAGTAAGCAACCCTAGAGGTGGCGCCAACTACGCCGAGGTGTGAGGAGGGATTCAAGAGACCCTACAAGATACAGTAGTCACGGGAGGTAAAAAGATTCAAGGTATACAGGAGCATCGTCAAAGCAAGGTAGTTTAAGAGTTGGATTATCAAAACTTGCCTAAGAAAGGTCATCAAGCCAGCCGAGGATAGGCAATAACGTAGAATGTTCGAAGGAAGTTATAATAAATGTCAGCGAATCCAAGTAGAATCTTTGAGGAAAAATTCTCATGGACATAATAAGGAGGACCTGAGTAGCATACCAAGGGAGAGAGTAGGAAGGTAAGAGGAAGTTCGATATGATTCCAGGGAGTCCAGTGGTCAAGTCTAAGGAAGTCACATTATGGCCATAACGAGGGAAGAGACATTAATTACTGATGTAAA